GACTTAACAGCTGTCATTGTACGAAGTAGGAGAGGATCAGACTTAACAACTGTCATTGTACAAAGGAGGAGAGGGTCAGACTTAACAACTTTCATTGTACGAAGGAGTAGAGGGTCAGACTTAACAACTGTCAGTGTACGAAGGAGGAGAGGATCAGACTCAACAACTGTCATTGTACGAAAGAGGAGAGGATCAGAATTAAAAGCTGTCATTGCACGCAGGAGAAGAGGATCTGACTTAACAGCTGTCATTGTACGAAGGAGGAGAGCATCAGACTTAACAACTGTCATTGTACGAAGGAGGAGAGGATCAGACTTAACAACTGTCATTGTACGAAGGAGGAGAGGGTCAGACTTAACAGCTGTCATTGTACGAAGGAGGAGAGCATCAGTCCTAACAACTGTCATTTTACAAAGGAGCTAGGAGAGGATCAGACTTAACAACTGTCATTGTACGAAGGAGGAGAGGATCAGACTTAACAACTGTCATTGTACGAGGGAGGAGGGGATCAGACTTAACAGCTGTCATTGTACGAAGGAGGAGAGGGTCAGACTTTACAGCTGTCATTGTAGGAAAGAGGAGAGGTTCAGACTTAACAACTGCCATAGTACGAAGGAGGAGAGCATCAGACTTAACAACTGTCATTGTACGAAGGAGGAGAGGATCAGACTTAACAACTGTCATTGTACGAAGGAGGAGGGGATCAGACTTAACAGCTGTCATTGTACGAAGGGGGAGAGGATCTGACTTAACAGCTTTCATTGTACGAAGGGGGAGAGGATCAGACTTAACGAAGGAGGAGAGGATCAGACTTAACAACTGTCATTGTACGAAGGAGGAGAGGGTCAGACTTTACAGCTGTCATTGTAGGAAGGAGGAGAGGGTCAGACTCAACAACTGCCATAGTACGAAGGAGGAGAGAATCAGACTTAACAACTGTCATTGTACGAAGGAGGAGAGGACCAGACTTAACAACTGTCATTGTACGAAGGAGGAGGGGATCAGACTTAACAGCTGTCATTGTACGAAGGAGGAGAGGATCTGACTTAACAGCTTTCATTGTACGAAGGAGGAGAGGATCAGACTTAAGTACTGTCATCGTTTGAAGGAGAAATGGACCAGACTTAACTACTGCCATTGTACAGATAAAAAGAAGAACAAAACGATCAAATGTAAAGTACTTCGATTCTAAGAAACCGTATCAAAAAACCCTAATGGACTACTGCCATTGTACGAAGGATGAGACGATCCTACTGGACTACTGTCATTGTACGAAGAATGAGATGGTCCTACTTTACTACTGCCATAGTACGAAGGATGAGATGATCCTACTGGACTACTGTCATTGTACGAAGAATGAGATGATCCTACTTTACTACTGCCATAGTACGAAGGATGAGATGATCCTACTGGACTACTGTCATTGTACGAAGAATGAGATTGTCCTACTTTTCTACTGCCATAGTACGAAGGATGAGACGATCCTACTTTACTACTGCCATAGTACGAAGGATGAGATGATCCTACTGGACTACTGCCATTGTACGAAGAATGAGATGATCCTACTTTACTACTGCCATGTTACGAAGGATGAGATGATCCTACTGGACTACTGTCATTGTACGAAGAATGAGACGATCCTACTTTACTACTGCCATAGTACGAAGGATGAGATGATCCTACTGAACTACTGCCATTGTACGAAGGATGAGACGATCCTACTGGACTACTGTCATTGTACGAAGAATGAGATTGTCCTACTTTTCTACTGCCATAGTACGAAGGATGAGATGATCCTACTGGACTACTGCCATTGTACGAAGAATGAGATGATTCTACTTTACTACTGCCATAGTACGAAGGATGAGATGATCCTACTGGACTACTGCCATTGTACGAAGGATGAGACGATCCTACTTTACTACTGCCATAGTACGATGAATAAGACGATCGGACAGTAACCTATACTGCCATTGTACGACAGACACGACTACCCAACTTGACTACAACCATTGTGAGAAGGAAGAAACGACTCAACTGCAATGTGTATGAATAAGAAGACGACCCAACTACATGTACATGTAACAATCCACTATCAGCTGTATTACTCCGCGATAATAAACATCTAAGAGGTTTATTTCTAAGGGTATTCCTGAACTTTAGTGAATCGATATTGTGCAGAAGGATAAAGAGTAAATCAAAGTTAAAATGTTATAAGTGTTACTTTTAAGTACATGTATATCTTTAATTTTATGATAAAGTGTTAATTTGTACCTTTGCTAATAAAAGTTACAATCATTATGTCAAGTGACTAGATTTCAAACATCTGTTTCAAATTAGTTTTTTTTTTACGAAAATGATGTAATTTTGTTATTCTATATCTGTTTATTCCTTACAACAAATATATTAGTAAAAGCTCCAGTGTTGCATGATATTGCATCAAATAGCAATTCTACTCGAGGCATTATAGAATGTTTAATTAAATTCATGGATTTTAATTGTCAGTTCGGTTTAGATATAGGAGGGATATATGATACGGAGATTTTTACAACTATGGTCGCATTGTTATCAAAAAGAAAAAAAATATATAATAATTTGATTCTATTTCAATGTAATGTCCTTTTAAATTCAGTTTGTTTAAATATTTTCCATAAAAATAATTTGGATAAAAAATCTAAGCATGTGATGCAAAATGGGTATCCCCTGATAAGCCGAAATGGTAGAGCCCATTATATGCTAAACCCCAAAGATAAATTCGTCAACAAAATCAAAGTAGTAGGGGCACTATGGCAAAATGTGGTAAAAGCTCTGAGAGGGTTTCATTTAATTCTAAGTACTGTTCGCAATGGCAAATCAATTTCTTTTTGCATTGTTTTAATTCTTAAAGTAACATATGTTTTGAGTATGATGTTTTGAAGGGAACGGTTCATTGTATAGTGTGTTACTAATATGTTGATGCTGTTATACTATGCAACAATGAAGTTAAATTTTAGTAAAACATTTTTAAAATCTTTGTAAATAGTTTATCGATACATCCAATTAAATTTTCTGTTTTCGTTTTGAATTGGATTATTTAAACAAACTTTTAAAAGGCTGTTTAACTGTAAGCGGACATGGTACTTGGTTTTAAAAATACAAATCAATAAAAACCCTAATAAAAATAACCTTACTTTAAAATGTATTTCAATCAATCAGAATTCAAAACGTCTTGTTCACCTTTTGTCATAAAATAAAGATTGATTTGATAATTACAAATTAAACTATATCTAAATTCCAATCGTACACTTCATAGATAGAAACATATCTGTAGGGCTTTTGTAGATCTTTATAATCAACATTACAACACACGAGATCGGACACGATTAAATTGCTCTTTGAAGTTGTACTAGTTTTATATCATAAAGAGAGGGACTCTTAGTTCACCCCTCCCTGCTCAAGCAATATGTCAGCATAGAAAATCTCTCATGAAATAGAAAGATTGTAATGTGATAAGGCAGGCAAGCTACACCAATGTTTCAACTGATTTTTACATTTTGTTCTAATGGCGTATTCTCACACCACTGTCATAGGTTGGGGAGGGGTTGCGCTCACGAACATGGTTAATCCTGTCACATTCTGTATGTTACTGTCTCAAGTCATGAGCCTGTATTCAGTGGTTGTCGTTGGAAGATATCTCTAATATTTGTTTTTTTTTTTGTTTTTTTTTACATAAATCAGGCCATTGGTTTTCTCGTTTGAACTGTTTTACATTTTGTCATGTCGGGGCCTTTTATAACTTTTAATATGTGTGGGTTTTGCTCATTTTTGAAGACCATGCTATGACGTAACTAATTTGCTTACAACTACATCATTTGGTCTCTGGTGAATTGATAAGGTAATTCAAGAAAACGCTCTGAATGCACCAAATTAATTAACTAACCTAATGATTGAAAAAAATGAAAGTGTTAATGATAATGAACATTATATATCAGTACTGGAACAAAATTCATTTTCATGGTTCATTGGTCATTTGGTTTTCTCGTTTGAACTGTTTTACATTCTGTCATGTCGGGGCCTTCTATAACTTTTTATACTGTGTGGGCTTTGCTCAGATTTGAAGAACATACGGTGACGTATATTTGCTAACATCTAATTCTTTTGGTCTCTTGTGAATATTTGAAGTAATTCAAGGAAAGCGATCCGGACGCACGAAATGCACAATGTTATTTTCATTAACTGTCAATACCTAATGCTTGACAAAATTGAAAATGTTAATAGCAATGGGCATTATATCATTGCAGGAAAAAAACACGTATCCCTTTTAAAAGAAAGCTTTGGTCGTCGTCGGGTGTTTCGAATATTCGAAATATGTTAAGTTCTTCTTCTTCCATATCCTGACAACCGATTCAACATGTTGAATATTCTGGCAAGTATATAGTTCAAAATGCCTTAACTTTAGTAATAAAATAAAATTATACAAGCAGGTATAAACGATACATCAATCAATAATTAAATGAAATTGAAGATATAAGAATTGGAAACGGTAGCTGCAGCGAATTCAGTATTTGGAGTTTTCAGCACACCGTTCAGTTAATTTCACTTTCAAAATCCAGGGCGAAATAATGTTAAGTAAAACTTTTGATTTATTTTTATCATGTGATAGCAGTGTAAGCTTTTCCAGATTGTTTTGATTAAAATCTACGAAAGGTATCTTTTTAGCACAGCCCAAAACTGTTATAAACCTGCATTAACCGTTTTATAGTTTAGGATTTTGGTAGTCGAGCAGTGTACTGTATAAGTACTGTCAGTGGGGAATAAGTTCTGAATGCGTTTATTGTGTATCAAATAAATTCGATAGTTTGTTATTTTTTCCCATCAATAGTTTGTAAAAATGTATATGATATTCTAATTTGAAGTACAAGAATGATAAATGCATGTCCACGGCTACAGGTTAAGTCCGGAAAAATATCGGTATCCGGGTTTTGATTTGGGGTTTAATTATAATTGTGCATTTCCTGTGTGGGAAAAATAAACAGCATGATACCACTGCAACGTGTACCCCTCTAGACTACAAATGCAGCCCATGTCAGTATAAAGTAATTATAATTTATTAGTTAAATGACAGTTTATATTTCCGTAGACAATATAAAACATGCAATTTATACTTGTAACTAATATAAAACTTTGTATGGAGACCCCTCTCTAAAAGTACTTGTATGTTGTGACACCAGAGCTCCAGATAAGCTGCGTATTTGCGTGATCACGCAATAAAAATAATTAAAAACCCAATGCAATTGCCCATTGCAGGGTTCAATAACCCAATTAATTCAAAGGAAAACCCAATTATATGCCAAAAACATGGGTTCTTAACGCTTTTATTCGCTATCGTTTGCGTTATTTACCCTTACTTGATTACAGTCGTCGCGTAAATCTATTTTTATAATATTTATAATTGGAAATGTCCTTTCGTTCTAAAAATAGAGCCCTGCATCAAGTAGCTGTAATGGTTCCCTGTTGGAATTTTCCGTTGCTCAGAAGGTACACGTGTTTATGAAAACATTTCGATCTTCTCGGCGTTTATCCAATTAGCGTGTGACATGCTGTCATATTTTTTCGAATTGCTCGGGCATTATCATAACATACAATGAATTAAAACGAAAGTAAATGTCCGGTAAAAATATTGAATAGAAGCATGTTTTCGGCTTCTTTTTGATAGCTGAGGGAAAGTTATGATGATAACAAGACTCAGCTAGTGATTTTAGGAAGCGGCAATTGAACGCACGGGCGTGTTTGCGTACCATAACGAGAACATTGCTAGAGCGATAAACACGGGGTTCCGTCAAAAAAAGAAATCAGTTGGAAAAAGTGAAAGGCCAAATCAATTATGACATGATATGTAGTTTGAAAGCATCGGAAACCACAAGTTCTGATAAGGGACAACTTAACCCAGATTTATGTAAATTGAATTAAACGAACACAGTTTATATATTATTTTTTTCATTTTAGTTGATGAGTGAATACACATATCCGTTTTTTACGTCAATGCAGCTTGACACTTTCTTTGTTTTTGGTCTAATTGTTCAAGATGCTTAAGATATTTACTTGATGTTGCAGAATTATTTGTAAATTTAAGTTGAATGTGGTCTCCATCATTATAAACCACCCTATAAACCTCAAGGTTTTGGGGGTATATCTTAAATCTGGAAACTACTTTTTATTTTTATTAAAAAGTAGATCTGGCAAATAGGTGAAAGGACTGGCAAAACTTTCTTACAGCACCTAAATTTCACATATATTACACAAAAATCTAAACACTTAGCCACACCTACCCCAACTATAATTAAACTGTAGGGTGATCATATGGGATCTAGAAAGTCAATTAGTTCCTGTCCAACTAGTGACACCAGCTGCAGTTTACATAAGTTTTGAGAAAATACAAAACTGACAGAACGTTTAAAACGGTACACAAATTAAATGTACAATTGCTCGTCAGTGAATAAACCAAATAAAACAGCTAGCACATATTCTTCAAAGAAAGAAACACATTTAAGATGGAAATACATCTGGGGTTGATATAATGTGATTATAACATGCCTAAATATTCAATATTGTGTTGATGAAAAAACCCAATACATTAAAGAGCTTGGTGGTGAAAACCCCAATTTGATATTTGCTTGAGGGGTGAATTGGAATTGATAATGCAATTAAAAAAAATTATCACCCAATTACATAAAAAAATGTTGGGTAAAAACCCCAATTTGTGAATTCTTATCTGGAGCTCTGGTTGTCATTTATTGCTTTATTATTACATTTATGATGATGCTACTTTTGAGTTTCTATCTTCATTTATTTGTGTTTCTTCTGTAATGCCACTTGATTGCCCAAAATTGAACATGATATATTTGAATAGGTACAGTACCCCAGTCCACCAAGTTGATATGTATGACTATGTGTAACATAAGTTACATCTTTCAGTGTTATGCATTTGGTGATACTAATTTCTGCTTGAATTCTGAATTGGCACGAAATATAACATAAATTGTGCAAGTCTATAAAGGTTCACTACACTACACCTTAAGTTATGCTTTTTCTTGTTTGCTTTTTCTTTTTTGGAGTACAAAATGTAGGATCAATATGCATGTAGCATGCTAAATTAAGATTATACGTGTACTCATATTTATGAAGAATGACCATTTTGGCCATAATGTAATAAATTATATTTAATTTGTGCAACTACTTTAACCATTACAAATCTTTTACAACTAAAGTTATTTACATTTATGCTTTCCAGATTATACAGGTTTGACTTTCAGCATTCCTAATATAGCGTGGCACTTTAAATTAATCACATTCTGTAACTTTCAATTTCACTCTAATCTATGTGACGCTTTATGTGCATATTACCTTCCTTGTGGACAATTAAAAGTTTACTATACAAGACTAACTGTTAATTTTGGTATGTCCATTTATTTAACTTTATATTTACACAATAAAATGGACTTACAGGATGAATGAAATATGAGAACTCTGGGTATTCATAAATACATATTATAATCATGAAAGTAAGAAAATTTAAAACTAAAATGTTAGTGCTATAATTGGCAAAATTAGATGTTGTTCATTTCATATCCTACTATTGTGTCAATTTTTATCATGTTTATTATTAAATTTAAAATGAGATAATGCTATATTGGTTGTTGAATGAGAAATATACCAGTTAAGCCTGACAAGTTCAGTATTATTAGACTGTTTCTGTTTGGCCTCTGTACTCCAATAAAGTGAATTAGGTCACCTAACAGACCAGTCTAATAATATCAGTGTTTTTTTCTGTATCCAGATTTGCTTTAAAAAATATCTTCATCCTACTATAAGGAGAAAATTTTCAGTAAATCTTGTTTAGATTCCAATAAATTAAGCATAAAACTGCTTTATATTCTTTTATATTCATTGCTCATAAATATTTTTTTTTACATTTTTTATTCAAAATACAAATGTATAATGTTTTTATCATTCAACAATTAGAGGATGTCAGAAGTTCCAACTGTCTTGCAAATTTCATTCCAGATTTTCTTTTGAGGAAAAACATGGTCACCAAACAATGCCAAAGAAAATGATTTGATTCTAAATTGGCCCTTTTTAAGTCCTATGGGATTTTTGTATGTTTTGACAGGATGTTACTTGAAGAAAATATGGTGCAAACAAAGTATATCTGTAAGTTATCTTGAGTGATTCTTTGGTGTGTTGTTTTCTTCTCTCTCTCTGGTTTGCATTTTTGCTTTTTTAGATAATTCTTAATTGGTTGCATAAATAATGCTTAGTCTACCACTTTGTTCTACCATACAGAGGCAAAGCTTCCTTTTTGTATGTCACACACAACATCAATTATGGTAACACCAAAAAAAAAAGCTTCCAAAACTTTTGATATCAAGTATAACAGACAAAGTTTATTTTAGAAACATTCACACTGAAATCAATGTAATATATAATATAAATAGAAGGTAAAGATGTGTTTCTCTGATAAGATGTTCAGATTCTATTCAGGAATGATTTTAAAAAGTAAAACAGGAAGCCAGGGTCCAGAGAGAGAAAAAAAAAATAACAGCCATTCCTAGAATATAAAAATAAGAAGATATGGTATGATTGCCAATGAGACAACTCTCCACAAGAGACCAAATGACATAGAAATTAACAACTACAGGTCACCGTACAGCCTTCAACAATGAGCAAAACCCATACCCCATAGTCAGCTATAAAAGGCCTCCTTTGAGCCTTTAGTTATTATATACTGTAAATTCAGAAATTATTGCGATTTATGAAGAATGGACAATAATGCGAGATTAATTATTGCGATTTCATGAAAATCTGCATACAGATGCATGTATCAGATATCAAAATGCGACTTTTAATTATTGCGATACTAACCCAGTCGCACTATTGGCATTAATAAAAACCTCGCAATAATTTCCAAATTTACAGTAATTATGATTATATATGGAACTGGCTGCATACATAATAGCTGATTCCTTTTGTGTGTAAGTCACTATGTTTGTTGTTTGTTTGCTACATTTTGTATCTCATTGATGTATATCCCAAAATTATGGGTCACATATTGTTTTCTATTGCATGGGGTTCATGCTTTGTCTGGCTTACTTTTATATCATGTAGAGTGTTTGTACATAAACTAACATTGTCACTTTCAGGATTTTAATTATTCAAAAATAACAGGATGTTTGTCAGTTTTTCAGAAACTATTGATGCATGGTATATAGTTTGTCAGAACTTTGTCAAGCCAACTCTTTTACAGTTTTCAAGTTTACAATTTCATATTATGTCCGGTATTTTTGTTATTTTACTTTTTTATGCAGATAAGAGTGCATATTATCCGGATCTTGGTTTTCTTAAATTTTCTGCAATTAATTACAGGATATTGAACTTTGTCAATGTTTTTTGTAATATTTAAGTAAATTTATGCAAACAAAGTGCAGTGGTTGTCTGGGTATCTCTTACAGTTTCAACCTAAATTTTACGCAGATTATTTGTACATATATATATTAAAGGTGTGCATATTTTAAGGATTAACAATTTCTTCAAATTTTCCACACTTGATAGGACATATAGGATGTCTAATGTCTTGATATGTCACTGTGATGAAAAATTATTGCATGATGAAGTGAAAATGTGTTTACAAGATGTCTTTTCATGTGGTAAATGGAATTTCAAATAAGTGTTATTTTGATCCCACATTTACCCAGACAAGCTGTTAACTAAATATAACATTTTAACTATATAAAAAATAATTAAGATGTGGTATGATTTACAATGAGACAACTATCAACAGGAGACAAAATGACTTGGATGTTAGCAACAATAGGTCACTACAGTCTCCAACAATGAGCAAACCATATAGTAATCTATAAAAGGCTCTAACATGACAAAATGTAAAAGAAAGCTATGGAGAAAACCAATGGCCTGATTTACGTACAATACAATAAACAAAAGACAAAAATGATACAGAGCAATAAAAGGCAACCACTGAATTACAGGCTTCACGTACTTTTTTGCACATATTTTTTTTTAGGTTTTGGTAACTGCAAAACATAAGTTTTAAAGTTTGAATGGAACAATAACGAGAAATTGTGCCTAAAAGAATGTACGAACATGGGGACGTCAACATGATCAAATGTGTGACTTTTTATTGTTTGAACTTTTATGTGCCAACAATTTCAAGCTGTACTTTAACATCACTGTTTACTCTGTCTAAAGTTATTGATGTAATGTTTTTTAGACTGTTGTTTGTCATGTTTTGTTTTTCGTATTTTGCTATGGTTGTGTGGTTTTCTCTTCAACTTGTCAATTTATTTTTCCCCCTTTGATATCTTCTTCCGTAATCACAAGAATAAATGCTTGCAATAGTTTCTTAGTTTGCAGTATTTTGACTATTTCATGACCTATATTTTATGCTTGAGTGAACCTCAATTTCTAATTTAGGTTACTGCAAATACCTGATGTCTTACCTGTCCGCACATTGCACTATATTGAAATACCATTGGTTTATTTATAATTATGCATTATTTTCATAATAAGATTGATGTTTTAATGCAGCTCTATTACCTTCAAGTGTAATTTAGGTATAACAAATGTTTACACTGTGACCACTTAGACTGATATTAAACTTTTATTGCGAAGAATGTTTTATTTTTACACCATTAAATGATATTTACCTTTAGTTGTCTGTATTACTGTGGTTAAAACACTTTATGGCGTGTTATAGATATATTGTCAACGAATACAATCAAGAATTGTCATTAAATTTTAAGTACTATTTGTGCATAAATTTTGAAATCAAACTTTTGAGAATATAATCAAATTCTGAATTTTTTTTTAGATAATGCTATACATAGATAAAGATGGTGACATATAGTTGTTAACTTATGGCATTTGGTATAGTGGAGAGTTGTCTCAATGGCAATCATACCACATCTTCTTATTTTTTAATTCCTTATTATGGTAGAACATTAGCTTTGAATTGTTTTACACTAGTCATTTTGGGGCCCTATATAGCTTGCTGTTTGGTGTGAGCCAAGGCTCCTTGTTGAAGGCCATACTTTGACCTATAATTGTTAACTTTTTATACATTGTGACTTGGATGGAGAGTTGTCTCATTGGCACTCATACCACATCTTCTTATTTATTTTATATTACCATAGCATTGACATTGAGTAATTATGGTTGATATTCAATTTTTTTCATTTAAGAACTCCTTGTTCATGATATTTTGTAGCATCAGCATGATAGTGGTGTTGAATGACTAACATTTTGAAGATAATAATTATGGAGATTTAAAAATGAGATGATTTTTTTCAAGAAGCACCAAGGATGTCCAAGAATTAACTTTGTTGAAGACTTACTTTAATGCGAACTCAGATTGACCAACCAGCAATTGTACTAACAACAATAATGAGAAATACTAGAACAGTTTACTACAGTATTAGTTTTTTAAATTGAGTTTCATTATAATAAGAATTAAACCAATGCTATACTATTTGTAAATTAATTTTGAAATGGAGCTTATTGTAGCTTGCGGTCCAACTTTGGGACAAAACAATACCAGTCTTTAATTGTCTGTCTTGTATCAAGTATGAAAATCAGCAAAGAACAGTTTCACCTTTAATATTTTAACATATAAATATTTTTCAAGATATTTTTTATATTTTGAATATTGAAAAAGGACATCTTAACTTTTCAGCAGCTCTATCAGGAGATTTAACTTTAGATATATTTTCTACAGCCACACAAAATATCCTAATTTTGTCCTATAAGTCATGACAAGTGCCAGCCAGCCTAAGAATTGAATAGTGATTAAAAACATGATTGAAAAATCATGCAAAAGTACATTTATATAAAATATCTTTTATTTCTAAATAACCTATGAATTGAGCATTGATTAAAAACATGATTGAAAAATCATGCAAATATACATTAATACAAAATATCTTTTATTTATAAATAGCAGTAATGCATATTAAAAATGCTTGTTTATTTCACTGTGCTTTTGTTTTTTATTTTTATTTTACTCTGTTTTAAAAAGCAAAAGTTGTGATACAGCTGGAACTGTTACATATTAATATTTATTGGTCCCTGGATACAGTCACTATTTTACATTATTTTTGGCTGATTTTAACTTATTCCTACAAGTTTGTAAGAGGGGACACAAAACAAAACCTATAATTAAAAAAATATAAAAAGGTAATTGAGGAGCCATGATGTAATTATATAAGAGGGTCTGGATGGGGTTTACAGAATAGAGAATAATGGACTATTACTACAGAATAATGGGCTAAAACATAAAAAGATAGAGAAAAATAGTCCAAAACAATTAAGAATAGAGAATAATAGCCAAATTTATAATGAACAGAGAAAAATGGCTTAAAAAAATTAGAGTACGATTGAAGGACCTCCCATCTAAACCCTCTATGATGTAACAGTATGTTTAAGCATGTTAATAAATTCATCATTTAGATGATTTCTATTCACAAATATAGAATATATCATGAACCAACTACATAATTTATCACAATCTGAACAAATCTCTTTCAGAAATGTATGCATAATCCTAGTGTTCCCATATTTATGTCAGAACTTATGCACTTTTTGAATGTACAAAAAAAATATAAATTTTCCCCTTCGTTTGGCCTTAAAGTCTCCATGATGATATTTGAAAGGCCTTCTGGTTGAAACGTTTCAAATATTTGTTTAGCATTTTAATCATTTTAAACTGAAACCCATATGATTGTGTAATACTCCATTTTGTAGGCTTATTAATTCTGTAACACACCTACTCCTTTTTAATACTACAGGATTCTACAAAAGTTTTGCAACTATTATTTTTGTTATGAACTTTTGCTTTTAATATTTTATTATAAAAATGTCCAATACATTATTTATATTGTCTGTAATATCAGGAGTCTTCATGTTACGTTTTTTTTATACTAATGTTTCTGTTGAAACTAATCAAATACTTTAAATTCATTTATTAATGCAATTTTTGAAGAATGAAAAAAATGTGAGATTAATTATTGCGATTTCAGGAAAATCTGCATACAGATAAATGTATCATATAATCAGAATATGTGTTCTTATTATTGCAATCTTCACCCAGTAGCATTATTCAGATTAATAAAAACCTCACAATAATTTCTGAATTAACAGTACATAACACTAGACTAGGCTTCTAAGATATATTTTTACTCAACATGTATTTAACTCAAAAAATATATCTATTGTACTTTTCAGTGTTGATAGGTATTGTAGCAGGACAAGCAGAAAAATAAGTGATTCAGAACAAATGTCAGAATTTACAGAATTCAGAATACTGTAAATTCAGAAATTATTGCATGCATTTATTATTGCGATTTTTTGTTGTCCCAGAAAGCTCAACATAGGGATAGTGATGCGGAAGCAGCGGTGTTAACTAACTTCTTAAAAGCTTAATATTTCAGAAGGTTGAAGACATGGATGCTTCATACTTTGTATATAGTTGCCTTATGATATGAAGTTTCTTTAAGTTTAAGAAAAACAAACCAAAACACAAAAACGTTGAGCAATGAACCATGAAAATGAGGTCAAGGTCAAATAAAACCTGCCAGACTGACATCTACATTGTAAAATATTTCCATACACCATATATAGTTGACATATTGCATACAGTATTAGAAAAACAGATTAAACACATAAATTTAACATTGAGCAATGAACTGTGAAAATGAGTTAGTAAGCCCAAAATAATAAAAAAGCTTTTAGCTATTTAAAATGTAGTATCAGCGATTGATTTGAACCTTGTAATTCATAAATGTTGTGTATCATATTCAGCTACTGTCATGACTGTTATGAAACAGTTGCATATCGATAGGTATTCGCTTTCTTTTAATGTTTGTACAATTATGTGTGTATTGAAATTTAATGTATATTTTGTTATATGCCTATAAGCTGTATTGCTTTTGGAAATCAAGTATTATTTGAAAGAAAATAGTCAGGATCAATTTCATGTGTTTTTCTTTTACCAAAGACATATATGTCTCTGATTTTACTCAGGAAATTTTCATATGTACTTAAAATTCTTACAATCATAGCATTATGTCAAACTCTAAAAGTATACTCCATTTCAATTTTTGAGATAAATCTCATTTTTTACTAAAATTGAATAGAATTGCATGTTTGAGCCACATATTGTTACATACATAATTGTACATATATATTGAGAAAAAAAGGAGCTCTTTGGGTTATAAAAACCTGAGTTTGACATAAAGCTATGATTGTAAGAATTTTAAGTACATATTGAAAAGTGTTTTGAAAACTTCCTGAGTAAAATCAGAGACATATATGTCTTTGGTAAAAGAAAAACACATGAAATTGATCCTGACTATTTTCTTTCAAATAATACTTGATTTCCAAAAGCAATACAGCTTATAGGCATATAACAAAATATACATTAAATTTCAATACACACATACTTGTACAAACATTAAAAGAAAGCGAATACCTATCGATATACAACTGTTTGATAACAGTCATGACAGTAGCTGAATATGATACACAACATTTATGAAGTACAAGGTTCAAATCAATCACTGATCCTACATTTTACCTTTCTCATCACTGAATGCTTATAAAGAAGGCATTGGAGCCTCTTGTTAGGTTCACGACCTGGATTTTCTTCCATGCAGTTAATATCTTTTCAGTATTGTTCATTATTGTATCAGTGAAGTATTGATTCTAAATCCTTGTAAGACAAGAAAATCATGATGATTCAACTTATAATTTATTGAGAGAAAAAAATAATGGTTGATTTTGCATCATTAATAATGCTTGATTTACTTAGAGAATGAAACATACAGCATGCGGCTTAATTTCTGTATTAGTTTTCTTAATATGTTTGAGAATGAATTGGCTTGGGTTTAGTCAGATTGCTTGAGTACATGCAATCCCATTTGTACACAAATATCGAATTTTTCAACAAATTGACTTGTCCGATTGAAATGTCTTTTGAAGTCACAATGTCATTTTTTGTAATAAGAAGTTAGTGAATTTGTTGCATTTATAAACATAAACGTAGCGGGAAATTCTTTTTAGAGTCGATAGAAATGTCTGGTTGGTGACCTAATTTTTAGAGTCGATAGAAATGTCTGGTTGGTGACCTAATTTTTAGAGTCGATAGAAATGTCTGGTTGGTGACCTAATTTTTAGAGTCGATAGAAATGTCTGGTTGGTGACCTAATTTTTTGACAAAATAAGTTAAAGGATAAACTGCCGTATACCCGAAGAAAACTTTTAGCTTAACTTAAAAAAAGTGTCCGGCGCACTCGAACCGATGGCACATAACTACCCTTAGGTTGGTACGTCTGCAGATGATGTGTCAGTCCCAGATGTGTTATCTACTCATGAGGGTTTGGATGGGGTTCCTCATTTCTGTTTTCTTTTTTGTTTTGCCCTTTATTCTGTATTTTGCCCAATTTTCCATATTCTGGTAAACCCCATCCAAACCCTCACTCATTAGTCAGTGATTATGTTTTGGGTTGATGTGAATGACATTTATATACATTGTAAATGTTTAGTTTAAAACCTATATAATCCTACTAATACTATGGTTTAACTCTCTCAAGCAAAGTTTTAGATAGATTTGTCTATTTTTGCCCATCTGTACTGATTTGATGCTGCAACCGTCCAATGTATTTGGTCTCAGAAATTTATGGTCACGAGTATACAGAACAAAGACTCTTTCTGAAACATTGTGTGTGCAAATTGAAAGGAGTAGGGCCAATTTTCCCGGTACTATTAATTTTAGAGAGGATTGAAGGATTTTTAGAAAATAGCCTTTGTGTGGAATACGTTCAGGAGAAATTGGCCCTACCTCTTTGTTTATATCATAAGTTAAAATCGATGTAAACACGATGAATGGACCTGATTTGTATGTAAATAAAGAAATATAACAAAACCAGCGGTATTTTTATACATGAACTTTTTCAGGGAAAATGTAGAAGAGCTATCAGTGTTCTTTAGAAATGTAGATGTATTATAAACTATAGCCATATTATTGCAGTTTGTCAGAAGTAATTTTGAAAAGAATTGTATCTTTATTATTTCATTAAAAGCATGCTTGTTCGATATTGGGGTATATAAATATGGTCAACCATGGTCTTCTCCCATCGGACAATTAAACCAATGCTGAAAAGGGGGAGTCCGTTTGACTGGGGGATGTATAAATACGCAGCCACGTCCGGTAAGAATTGGGTCGTTTTCAGATGTCTATGGCTCTTGTTGGAAAAGTGTCGCACTCTCTGCAGAACCATTGCAAAACTTTTTGATGGGTCCGTGCGTGGCTTGTTTCAATCTTTGTTTGGCCCCTAACCAATTAACATTTCCTCATTGTCTGGCGTACAAAATGATAAGCCTGGTATTTTTGGGGAGTTTTTTTCTTTTTTTTTCTCTGTGACAGTCGAATTCAATCGGTCGACCCTCTGTTCAGAACCTGTCTATGGAATTACATTTTTGTAATTGTAAATTTGTTCTCGTCCAGAATATGAAATATTTGCCACTGGACGTTAAGCAAGTAACAATCGTTCAATCATATAATTCTGGTATAAAATGTGACTGGGCTATGTATTTCTCAAAAACTAGATTAATTGATTGATGTTTAGCGTCCAGCGGGTAATCTATTAACCATATCATGGACGTACATGTAACATGCAAGTAAATGTGATACATGCATGTTTATAGTTAATGTAATACATTGCACGAATAAGAATCCTTTATTTTACTAACAATGTTACAGATCGTTAACAAGCTAGTTCGCAAGGTAGTTGTCCATATGAAGACGCTTTCCGTATTTGAACTCCGTATTCCATCCCGAGTCTACCAATCAACTCGCATTCCAAAAACAGTAGGTACCAGTCAATTGGTTGATCCGCATGGGATCGAACCAAAGATGTCATTGAAAAATAAAGTTTGGAAGTCTGGGAATTAAAACTCCTTCCTGTCGCTACTTAAAAACCTCAACCCTTTCGCATTACTGTCTATTTCTAGATGTATGCCTGAAGTATAGACCTATAGATCTTGATTTAAATGGGATTATTTTGTTCGATTCTAATGTGTGATTACCGTAACAATTTGTGTCTTACCATGCAAGTTCATGTGACTGTCCTAAGTCAGGAACCTCGTCAGTATAGTAGTATTTTATTATATATATGTATTTTGTTTTTGTTATTTTGGGGATTTGGTGGCAGAATTTTTGTATAGCGTATTTAAATTTTCAGGCTCGGGAGATTTACAGCTTGATAGTTTGTATAGACATTGTCCATATTGTAAATACCGTATCGTTTTCCTCTAGATGTTTTTAGTATTTGGTGTCGTTGGTTTACTGTCTCATTGACCAGGAACAGATATACTGTTCCCAGCATTGACGTATACCCCACATCTTGTTTTATTCGTACGAAGGGTTTTATTACGTTTTTCTAAGAGAAAAGTCAGGTGAATAGTAAGTTTGCATATGGTACAAAATTGTATACTTTTAGCTCATCTACTTTCAAAGGGCTAGCGTAATATTTTTGTCTACAGAACTTCTATTTTTTGTCAATGAATGCAAAACTTTAAACGAACTAGCTATTACTATTACGGGGTGTGTTTAACGACCGTGGCTACCCATAAGGGTCTCGCACGGAACTAGCTATTTCACACCCTATTACCGATCATATATCTCGCAATTACAATAGGATTGCAATTAAAAACAATTCACAGTTTTTGCTCTCGGCTACAACAGATTTATGTCGGGAGTTTCCGATTGCCATTACAATACAATGGATTTTCAATCGTATACGGCAGATTTTGATTTGTTTTACCTTTTGCATCTGTCGTACCGATAGCCAGTTTAGGGGTTCATGTGTACATTACATATGTACACGCATGTGTACATTACATATGTACACAATTTCTTAATGAACGACGGCTTGGCTTGAATTTCCAAAGCCAAAGTTAGTTAGAATATAAAAATAAGAAGATGTGGTATAATTGGTAATGAGACAACTCTCCAACAGAGACCACATGACATAGAAGTTAACAACTATAGGTCACCGTACGGCTTTCAACAATGAACAAAACCCATACCGCATAGTCAGCGGAAGCTCTTATTCATAAGAAAATACACTGGCTATCCAGCAGAATCACTTTGTTCGTAATTTTCCCTTTTGAAAATATAAAGGATCTGGTCAGAAATTTCGTTTAGTATGAAAACTAAATTATGTGTCATTCAGACATGCAAAACAGAACTAGATATATGTGCAAAAAAGAGGCGGAATATACCAAAAGGGAATATCAAACTCATAAGTAACATTTCAGCATATGAATATGTAAATAACAGATTGATTTGTTTTGAAGTTTTCTTGTTTACCGGAAAACACACTTTTGAAAATTTCAGTCTGTAAAAAAATAGGTTTTTCGTTTGACGAGCTTCATTAGATCTTTAGTATATTTAAAATTTAAAGAAATTAATGTTTTTAAGGAATAGTATGAAAAAAAGGTACAGCTTTGTACTATACAAGTTTTTTTTATTAATCCCGATGGGATTTGTTCACAAACTTGTCAAGTTTACCTCAGTTAAAATTTACTAATAGTATACCGTTCTGACATAATGTTTTGATATGTATTTCCAAAACTTATTTTCTTTAATTGAAAAATAAGGGATTTGATCAAATTTCATTACAAATTCAATTACCGTTAATCCTTTGATTATATGGAAATTAAATTGACATATGAATAGAGATTTAATTTTGGTAGTCTTTTGTTGTTCGTCAAGTTTGCCAGAGGGGTGTTTAAATAGACGCATTACAACTTGTTTCAATCCGGGTACCTTTCTACCTTGGGTGTCAAACGCATTGAATACTCGGATTTGACTGGGGTTGAGTGAGTTTGAAAGCAGTTTGTATATTGGCTTTGGTCGTCATCGATGACTGCCTGACACGCATCAGTACCAAGGTTTGTCAACTTTATACTATTTCATATTGATTACTCTGCTTTCACACTTGATCGAGTGCTCTTTAGATCATTGCTTTATGCATATTGTTTTGTTTTTTAAACGAACGGACAGTTGAAGTCGAAGTAAGGGCGTAGAGACCGGAGTCTCCGTTCGTTTCTTGCTAGACATTAATTCATTTTTGATGTTTATTACCGTCTTTTTTCTTTCTCAATGATTCGTTATAGTGTTAAATTGCCCATGGTGTAATAAAAAAGAGTATTTTAAAATTCAAATTATATTTTAGGGTTTCCCGCAGTATAATTTTTATACCAATATATCAGACGATTTTTTTCAATTATAATGTTTTGTATATATTTATTACATGTTTTTGTTTTTTATATTATCATAAACTGTGAACATGTTTTTCGATTTTCTGTAAAGTACGCGAAAACCTTCAATTTCAATCTGTTGACACAAGGGTTCTTAAGTACTCGTATGAAAAAGCGAAAGAAACAGTTAAAATATATTCAATCTCTTGATATGTATAGGTATCAGTTTCTGGTATTTAATTGATGTATATTTGACGTAAAGACAATTACAACACACCTCCTTAATTCTATATGAAAGCTGTTTACAGTTTTAATATTAAATACACTATCATTATTTAATAATGTCATTGTGGTTGTATTGTGTTTTTTTTCCTTGTTGTTTGGTTTCTGCCACAATGACGTCTACAAAACATGTATTTACGCCTTTATACAATATAATTGTCTCTATTTGGAAATGTTTTGCCTGAAATAGTGTGTATAGAACTATTTTATTTTCCGCCAAGCACGTTCATTGAGACACGCCATGTACTTATCCTATCCGCTACCCCAATTAACCAGGACGATTTTCAATAATTAAGCTTTATTATTGTGTATAACAATACTATTAAACCGTAGTTATTCAATACAAATAACTTGAGTACAACCTTTGCCCGTAGGAGTCTTTAAAAAACAGAGCCGTCAATGAAAGCAGTTATTGTCTACTTCAGCTTAAGTCGATTTTTCTATAGGTGTGTTAATACAAGAAGAAATAAAACTTCTTTTGTACCTGTGTACATATATAGTTTGTTAAAAGAATTTTTAAACTGTGTACAGCTTAACTACCCTCAACTATTTTCAATGGGAAAATGACTCCAGTAATGAAATGGGAGACGATTAGAGAAAATCTTAAAAAACTTGTATTTCACAATTTTCACGACCACTTTTTTATCGAATATATATTTTGGTGATTATCCTATTAAAACATTTAATTTGTAAGAAAACACGATTTTTTATGGGAATTTTGTCCGTTTGTTTACTTGTAGAACGACATTATTTCTTTAACAGTCAATTTAAAAATATTTAAACCTAATATGGATTCTAAAGTTAGTCAACAAATACAGCGATCTTTATGTTCAACTGTGAGGACCTGGTGAAGGGTAATTTTTTTTCTTAACTAATTAAAAGACTTGTACCCGAATATTTTATACTCAGCAGCATAAAGATGGCGGTTTGTTTTTTTTGGACAAAAATACTTTGTTGCATGTAATGCTTAGTCTTTAGTATATAAGTGTTTTGTAGACTTGTTTGTCGTTTCGTGTTTTCTTGCCATGGCGTTGTCAGTTTCTCTTCGACTTGTGATATTTGAATGTCTCATTGGTATATCTTCCGCCTCTTTTTATAAATATACTTGTTATCAAATTGCAAATGTTGAAATTATATATTAACGTTTTTACTATCTTAAACTTCCCCAAAATTCGTAAATAAGCAGACGTTTTTACTCTGAGTTCTTGGTGCCCATACATATCTTCTAACATAAGACTTTTATTGTCTTTAGATACAAGGATTAGGGTGCCTTTGCCGGGAAGCACCAACCATCATTTCCGCTACCGTTGATGTCATATGAATCTATTTTTTGTGTGTAGAATTGGTTTATATTATCGTAAGATTTGAATGGAAAGATATTTTGACTTTACCTTTAATTGAGTAAAAGTTATTATGTCCAATTTAGGAGATCATCCCAAACCTGTATAAGACAATGGAACTGTCAATGACAGAGAATATAAAAGAAAAATAAATAAAAAGTAGTTTTTAACATTTGAATAATCTTCAAACCCTTTTCTGCAGTTTTCTAAAAGACCTTAAGGAAGTATGAAATACATTTTATACTGTTTATTTCTCATCCAAAAGAAAAATAGACCATCATTTCCATGTTAATTTATCCAAGGAACCGTTTTTGTTAATTTCGGCTGAAATTGATTTGAAATGATTTTAATTATAGATATATAAATTGGTAATGAATTAAGTTGAAACAAAAAATGAAATAACAATGAAAACGTATATTTTTATTTACGATGACTTGAAACAAAGTAAGATTTCCATATTTTACTAAAACTAAATCACCATTCTTTATTTCGAAAGAAAGAAAACAACGCTTCCTAGAGGTGTCAAGTCATTTTTTTTCAACCTTAAAACAAATATTTTTCTTTGGGATCAGCTTGCAGACAATTGGAATTTTTAGTTAATGTAAATTTACATATGTTTATTGTGTAAAATGTCAACATTTTTGTGAATGAGATCTTCTTTTATATTTAGAAAGATTACTTACTCTTTGTTACGTCATTACTTTTGTTACATGTACACGTAGTTCTATGTACTTGTTTGGTGTTTTCCCTGAAGGAAGAAACACAATTTGACACATCTCCATTTGTTAATACAAGGTCTAATTTACTTACAAGCGAGTCAGTGATGTAAGTTGTGTATATTTACATTTATAACTAGGGAGAACATGAACCATGTAGATAAGGAAAAATTAAGACCATGCAAGAAATTATCAACTCATATATTTTAAATTCTGTTTTTTTGTTTTGCATAAAAATCTTGGAAATATTTATTTGACCATTCCTTATTGAAAAACAGATAAAAAAAGATAGTTCTTTTACGTAATGTAGTTTGCAGCTGATTGATAAAGGAAACGGGTGCGACATAGAAATGAAATTGAATCCGGGATCATAACGGCAGCGAAAGACTGTTAAAAAACTGCTTCATCACGATGTGGTAACTTATACAGACTTCGCCATTAGACTTTCCTGCGTAACACTCAAGTTACAAGTAAAATATGTCCCGTAATTTTCTAAAGCAACTCATTTAGTTTGCATACGACAGCTTTGATTATCATATTAAAACACAAACCGCTATAATCCATTTAAAATATTGATCAACAAAATTCAAAATACAATATGTAAGAATTTTCCTCAATACACAATTTGTTATTCATCTCTCAGGTATACAAGTATACCTGCATACAAAGTGTTTTCTCACATAAATAAGGAATGTCACCTTCGGGCTGTGACGATAGCTTTTTAATGGCGGGAAAGCCATGGTCGACCAATCAGCACTCTTTCCGAACTTTAAATATGTATGATGGAAATTAGACACAATAAGTAGAATAGAAAGCGCTTCTTTTCGTCGTCCATAACTTTTGTGTATCCATTTCAATCAAACTGAAATATTTTTGTACTTGTATTCCTCCGCGTTGTAGTTGCACACCTGGTTCGCAGGTAGACATTCATTTGTGGGCCTTGTCCTATCTACGGACGACTGGCTGGTATTGACAGGTAAGTTTTATACAGGTCTTCACGGTGCAATGCTCTCATTTACGTTTCACAGACCTCCATACCTGGATGGGCACTGTCAACATTTTACCATGTGTATATACGGAAGTTTCGCATGAGACAATACTTATTTTTTTGTGAATGAAAATGTGGTTTATTGATTCCAAAGGTTTATTGTATAGAAACTATTTACAGATCAACCGTAGTAATTAAGAAGAGAGGATCTGAAGGGGTTTTAGCGGTTGGTCAGTCTTCCATACAGTTCAAAACAACTGATACCGTATCGAAAAACAGCTGAAGCAAGTCCCAATGGAAGTGGAAACCAATCGGGAGCCCTCTCCAGAGAGCGTAACAGAAGAAGAACAACAGACCGTTACAGTGACAACAGAAATACAAAATGTCAATGTAAACGAACAAGAAATTTTACATCCAACAGAGGCAGAAATTATACAAGTTGCAACAACAGACATATTACAACAGGCGGCAACAACTATCCTATCCCAAGTCAACAACAATTATATTACGGTTCCCATTGGCATTAGCAACAACAACAATAATGAGGAACACGACAAAGTGAAATCAGTGAAAGGTAAGCGGCCATGTGTTTATGTCAATTGAACCAGCACGATGTAAATAACACACTTGTTTTTAAAATTTTCACTGTATTTACACTGACCATATTTGTTTAACTGTTAAAACCATTTATTGATGGTTGGTATAACCTCTTTTTTGTATAATAATGGTGTTCTGAGCGGGAAATAAATTGCTACTTTTTTGTCAGAACCCTGCATTACCCCATCGACAATATAATACCACGCAATTTGTCAAAATAAGATGACATTATGTGTCGTCGTCATTTTATTATAACCACGAAAATGACTTAGAAATGACGCTAACATCAAGTTGTTGGTCTGCACACCTTAAAGGCTTGTAGTACAAAAAAAACCTCCATAAATTAACATTTTTTATTTGAAAGTATTAATTATTTTTTTTAGAAAATAACCCGGGATCGATATCCGCCTCAAGTTATTTTTCTAATTGTCAATAAAAATAATTGTTGAAGATAAACTATGTTTTTGTTCAAATTTTAACAAAAGAATTCTATGAGAAAATTGTCTGGATGCTATTTCCTTTTATAATCTCGAGAAAATTAAACCAAACCACCTAAAAGTATAAGAACAGGACTGTTTTTCTTTGACCAGAGTTGTGTTATTTCACGTGTTTTTAATCCTTCGTGTAAAGATCTTGGAACATAATATGGCGAAATAATAGGTTTAATAAAAACCGTAGAGGGACATAAAAGGCTCCATGTTAACAATCCCTGTATTTATAAAAAGATGTTCAGATAATTATATGACACAGGTGTTCTTACTGTCACAACTGTAACACCTTACATGAGGGTTAAGACTATAGTAGGTCAAAGTGGTTACTTTTAAAATCAGTATCTTTTCTGATGCTCAATCCGTAGTTAAGACTAGTAGGTCGAGATGGTAAATTAAAAAAAATAGTAACTTCTCTGAAACTCAATTCTTAAGACTAGTAGGTCGAGGTGGTAACTGTTTAAATGAGAATGTTCTCTGTAGCTCAATTCTTACTTTTATATTGGTGTTTTGTTAAAGTAGTCAAAATTAATTTAAATTCAATAAAAATATGGTTGTGAAACTTTTTCATGGTAATTTTATTTTCTCTTTAAAGCGTTATAATAGAAGCTTTCTGTTTTATTTGGGTTCGTCCTCTCGGTTTTCTTATATCTTGATGTACAAGTCATCCCTTTTCTCTTCTTATTGTTGGTTGGCCCTGTATGATAAAATTAATCAACCCATCATAATCACCAACCAAACCCTACCTCCATTACCATCATCAACCCCACCCCATCTTCATCACCATTACCAACCCCATCCATCTTCATCACCATCATCATCACCAACCCCAAACCACCTCCATAATCACCCCACCCCACTTTTATCACCATCATCATTACCAACCCCACCCCATCATCATCATCATCATCATCACCTATTATTAAAGTGACTTTAATTATGCATAAAGCATTTGACTAAACTCAGATCGCAGGGTAATATTTGTACTCACTTTACTCGTAAATTTCTATTTTACATAATACTATATTGTAAGTGACATATTTGTTGCCATTTGTGTAAAATCATTGGGTATCAAATTGCACTTTGTCATTGTTGTGGTGGAATTTACATGTGTTGCTTCAATTCTATGGGGGAAAATGAACATAAAATAACTAGAACCTGATATGAGCTTTTTTTGTACGGATTTTGATGTATTATTTTAAGATGGTTTGTTTGTAAACACATCTTCTGTAATTTTGCATGGTCATTGTGTTTTATTCAGGTTCTTGTCTGAGTTAACTTGGCGTGCGTGTTCTTCACCTTGAATTACGGATTGAATTGTTTGAAATCAAGCTTGTTTAAAATTTCAGTCTTGTGCATGTATTTTTGGTGATTTGTTTGTAGTCTTATCCTTTTGTTGAGTGAATAAACACATCTTGGTTTATTTTGCATGCATAGTCTTGATCAGGGTGCACAGACACAATTTGTTAACTAATATCAACTTCGATTGCCTGTTCTTAAGATGGTCTTCAGAATGGTGTACAAATTTTCATTTTGTTAACTATACATTGACTGTAAAACATTTAGTCAGTTTTAATTATCATATTTTAATATAACAAGGCTTTTGAAGCTCCAAAACGTTGAAAGCATTTTACCTACCATACACATGGTCTTTAGCATATTTGGTGAATCCAACCAGCAATATGTGTTTATACTACGCTGTGTATTATTTGCTTGTAAACTGCTATCTCTATTTCAAAGATAGACTATAAATTATTTCTTAGTTGAGAAAATAAATCTATAGAAACGGCGTTGTCAGTTTTTCTAAATAACATGACGCTATGAAACACAGTGGTCATACAAATCCTTCTCATAATTTGTTTTAAAATATGATCACCCTGATATGGCGCCTGTATAACGGAAAAACACAAACTTCCCCAAGGTAAAGTTTTTAAAAGTTTATCTATTGTATCTGGACAGTAAATGGCCATATGTCTTTACTTGGGGCACTATGAATCTTCACTTCTATAAGTGGTATATACTTTATCTTTTATCTCAAGATCTGAGTTTTACCCACAAAGAATGTCAACGCATGACCTTTTATATATAGTCATTTGAAGGTTTGAAGTTTGATAACTTCCAGTTTTCAATTATCTAACAAGTATAATCTAATTGTCTCTATGCCAGTTGACATATAATTTGATAATGATTTCCAAAACTTCAGATATATCTCTGCATGACTCTCTATAAGTTTGGATGCTTATGTATAGTTTTGAATTTGTCATACTTAAATTAAAACAGTAGTTGAAATGTCCATTTTGTGCTAAGCAATATACAGGATGGTCTTTGGTTCGTCTTTTTTCAGTTTAACCATTAACCTTATCCGATCATGTACCTTTTTTAGATTCTGTTCAGCGTTTGACACGATAGCCCGTAGTCCATAGAGCTATTTAGTTTAAGGAAAAGTTGTAATGCTAAAATGGAAATGAAGTTTGGGGTAACAAACCGTGTAGGGATCTGGTTCGCTTCATTTTCCCCACATGACTTCTAGTATCGTATAAATAATAAAATAAAAATTCCCCTACGAGAACCAGTGTTAGTTACTATTCCTCAAGTATGCATCAAAACATCTTCATATCTTCATTTATTTCCATCAAATTCATCTGATATTTTGAGACACCCATTCTTAGTTCTAGTTTTGGAATTGCTTTCGTAAAATATATGTTCCAGGTTATATTTTGTTAGTTCCATGAGTTTTATTCTTTCAATCAGTCGATATATCAACAAGGACATTTATACATCTTGAAAGCTGTAAATAGTATCCTTGTGTTTTTTTATTAGTCACTGTTTTAAATGAGTTCTACTTGGATAGATCATTTAAACATACACAAAGTGGTATTATTAACTCTGGCAATAAACTAGTATGTTACCAGTTGCAATATGAATGCAAGACCCTTAGCTAGCTCTTAGTGTTATTGTGATGTGATATTTTTTTGTATTCTTGTCTTTTATTTTTGCTTATGTGCTTTGTCTATATGCCATTTTGTTTTTCTTTGTTGACATATTTGTTTGTTTTTATAGTAATTAAGATTATTAAACAATGTTGACTGCTGTACCCCTATTTTTGACATGTTTACCTTTTATGTCTGTTTGTTTTGTTCACACATTGTTGGAATTTTATGCGACTGTCACAAGTGAGAGGTTTAACTAGCTATAAATTCCAGGTTTAATCCTCTATTTTCTACATAAACAAATGCCTGTACCAAGTCAGGAATATGACAGTTGTTTTCCATTCGTTTGATGTGTATGAGCTTTTGATTTTGCCATTTGATAAGGGACTTTCCGTTTTGAATTTTCCTTGGAGTTTGGTATTTTTGTTATTTTACTTTTTAATGGACGAAATGGGATTTTAAAATTCATTTCAGTGTCATCTTGAACCACACTCTCTGCAAGTTTATCTCAGTCTGTAAATAAACATTTCAAAACCAGCTCCAAGAGAAAAAAAAACACGTTTGTGACAAACACATACAGCAGTTTTGTAGCTGCATTTTATGGCACAATCAATTTACTGCCATTTATCTCTTGTTAGAAAAACAACATTATAGGTTTCTGTTTTGGTAGCTTATTGTATTCTGTCCTGAACTTAAATGTCCAGTACAATAATCTTTTATCGATATTCAATAATTGAGAACTTCCTGACCTTTCTTGGCTTCCTTTAGATTGATATGAGATATTAAAATTCTATAAAGATCTCAGCTCACAAGTCTTTCAACGTCTTTTTGCGAGTAGGAGTTCATTACATGGTTGTGAGGTCACCCCCGCTTAGAAAGAAAAGGTTTTGCTTTCTTAGAATTTTAAATTGCTTCTGTTTCACCTCTTATTATGTAACTAGCATAGTTTTTTTTTATCAACACCACTCACTGTTCAAATTAATTGATCTTGATACTTTATGTTGCCGGAGAAGTTTGAAGATAGAGAACGGGTCCAAGTCCAGCTTGGGGAAAGAGCATACAAGTTTGATGTACATGTTTTTTTTTGTACACTGACATTGTAAGGTTGATTTCTATGCCCATAAATGATCTACAGCTCCATCACTATTTTGAACCTTTAGCCACAAATCAAACAATCGTACACAACATCCATTTGACTAGGTATTGACTCAAAAATAATCTTTTTAATCGAAGATATAAGACCATTGTTTATCCCATGCAATGATCCGATGTCTCTTTGTATATAAAGCTATTGTAATAGAATGTCTATGCATTGCATGTCTTCTAACACGTTCTGCAGAAATAAAAATTATCAGCAGGTTCATGCATACATATTTATTTAATATATGAAAGGTTTTGCAGATGCAAATTTTTGCAACCATCTCTATCAAACACCTCTGATGATGTCCAGTTTCTTATCAATATGGTGGCAAAGTGGTGCTTTATACTGCAAGGAAATATATATTCACTTCAAGTTGCCTTAAAATCAGAAATGAATACTATTTTCACTCTTTTGCATT